GGGGGTGCGCTCGGTGGCCAAACCGCACCGACAGAAGGGGCCCCGCAGCGGGACCCACCCCAACTGGAAGGCGCGTTTGTGTTTTCAGTTTGCATCGGCAGACTTAACTGCGTCTTTTTAACTTAATTTTTCCAAGAGGTGAGAGTGGGCTCCGGTTCTCAGCAGCCACGACCCCACCGTGCAAGGGGCCGTCAGGTTTTCAAACAAAAGAAATCCGGTAGCGCACACAGAGACTAGTTGCCCAAGTCACATATTCCGGGTTTATTTTCCACTTTACGCGTGGAAGCGACTTAACTGCATCTGCGGCATTTGAGCTGCGCCTGCAGTTTCAAGCTGTTACATTGGACAGCCCCGACAGTTTTGAGGGGTGAGGGAGGGGGAGAGGAGCGGAATTCTTGAGCGAAACGAAACTAGAATCAGCAAATGGGACGTGAGAGAGACAGCTTTTACCATTGGTAACTATGGGAACTGTCAGCAGAAAGACATTTTGACTGGTATGCACAGGGTTTAAACTTCAATTTTGTTGTAATAATGATTGAAAGTTCTATCTCCTGAGCAGCTCAGTGTGTTAGTGGGACAGAAAGGATGTGGGGCTTCATAAACTCTGTGGAGCTTATTTCTGTGCAGCAGACCTGTTACTTCAGTAGGCTAATGTGTGCGGCTTTTCTTATTCTTTCTTCTCCCAGAACCCATCTACGTTCCATTCCTCATTGTTGGATCAATATTTATTGCCTTTATTATCGTGGGCTCTCTGGTAGCGGTTTATTGTTGCACATGTTTAAGACCTAAACAACCATCGCAGCCAATACGATTTTCTCTGCGGAGCTATCAGACCGAGACTTTTCCCATGATCTTGGCCTCCACAAGCTTCAGGACGCCATCAAGGCAGTCCAGTACCGCAACAAGTTCCAGTTCGACCGGCGGCTCGGTTCGCAGGTTCTCCTTTCCCCGGGCGGAGCCAGCGTGCGTTGTGGCATCGCCACCTCCGCCGTACACATCTGGCTGCTTCCCGACAGCCCATGCAGTCCACCTGACCCAGCCGTCGGGATTTCTGGTGTCACCACCGTACTTCGGGTATCCGCTCCAGCCAGAACCTACCCTGGCTGGGAAGAGCTGCTCCGATTTTAGTCAGAGCTGAAAGTCTTTGGGAAGAAGTAACGCAGCCTTCGGAAGTGCAGGGACCGCTGCTGCTGGGTGTCACACTGGCATGCTCTGTGGCTGTCGAAGTCAGAACTGTTCCCCTGGGTGAGTTGCCCTTGAAAAGTGCAAGGTCTCATTTGGGATCTCATTTCCCAAACTTGGATCACATTTACAAATGAATTGTGAAATACTCCAAACAGTTGCTCTAAAAACTGACCTCTCTGATTGTTCAGTCTAATTTGTGCAGAACATGTTCAGAGACAAGTAGAAAACCCATTTTGGTGTAAAGGTACTCATTTCTTGGTGTTATAAATGGCATCTTAACCTTAAATGCTGTTAATTTAGATAACAAACAGTGGCTTCCTTCCACTGATAACAATCAGACTAGTTCTATAAAGCAGTAAAAAGCCTGAGAAGAGAGGAGTAATACTTACTAAAGAGGATCTTGAAAACAGCTGACTGCTTCCCACTTCCATGAGCAGTGAAAATAAGAGGAACAATTTTACTACAGATACCAAAATCTATTTTTTTTTTAAAACACATACCTAAACTTACACTGCATATTTGTATTAGTAAATTTTAACTACAATAGATAAAATGAGTACTACTTAGGCTAGTTGAAAATGAGCCAATCCTAAGCAGACAAATAATTACCTATGAGAAAAGCAGAATGTATTCAGTGTATCACTAATAACTTCTCCACATAAAATTCTAAAAATGGCATTATATTAAGCATTTTACAGAAGGAAGTATTTATTGTTGGCTTTTTGCTCAGCAATGTCTAAGTTGGACAACTGATCATAAAGTTCTATTTGTAAAATTAGCCATGTATAAAATGTAAAGACATTGTAATTTAAAATGTATTTACAGCATTGACAACACTAATTATTTAGTAGTCACACAAAAAATTTTATCAATAAACTGTGTAGTTGAAATGTTGTGTCATCTATATGTCACTCTACAGATAGTGTTTGATGAGCAAGTTTTCATTTTGATGGTGTAACTATACTGTATTTTTTCCAGTTAAAAATAGTTAATTTTACATCTTGAACTGCACCTGTTGTGCAGATTTAATATCATATAGAATGCTGACTGTATAGCAAACTAATGGACTGATGAATGTCTTTCATATGTAACTGTGGTAAAAACGTGGCAAAAACTACACTGATAGTAGGAATAAATTTTGTTTGCCCTTCTACATTCCTTCGCCCAAGTAAACCAACAAACCAAATGGAAGAAGAAAAAAACGCATCTAAACCAAACATGCGGCAAGCAAATGGAAAACACACAAGAAAAAATGCCGTCCCTCAAGGGCTTCTCTGTATACTTATTTTTGTGAGCAAATGAAGTAATTCTGTGTGTCAGAATCTACAATATCAGAGGCTGAACTTTTGCTATTTTACCAGCTCCAAACTCCCTGCATATAGGATCAGTTGAAGTGGATTACAGCTGACCTGTTTCACAAGTCATATTAAAATTACAGCACACTTCTCTGTATTTTAGAAAAGCTTCATTGGCTGTTCCTCAATTGATGAATAATTTATTTTTCTTAGTAAATATCTAGCAGTCAGTATCTTGGCATTTATGAAAAAAGTATTTTGAAATAACCCTTTTAATATGCTTTTTATTGTATAATTAACATTACAATCCAACAGGTAGTACTGCTTGGAAATGCGGTTTCTAAGCAGAAAGACAAGTTGTATGCAATGGTGTTTTAAGTAACAGGCTCTAGCTTGAATACTGTAAGTTTCACGAACTAAAATCATGATACCCAATAGTGTAAACGTTTTACAAAAATCTAAAAAGTAGATTTTGAGTACTTGGGAAATTAATTGGAAGGTAAGTGGTTTAGCTTGCAGGTTTTTTTAGAAACGGTCTTCAAGGAAGGGGGTGGGTAGATTTTTGCCCACCTTTGCTGATGTTTCTTAGGACTCTTCACTGAACATTTTGAATGGGTAAGAAATACGGGACTGTTCATCAAGTAACCTTCTGTAAAAATCATTTAATATTGCAACAGATACCAGTTTGGAAACATCCTGTGAGATCTGCTGATCATTCCTGTATAGAGCAGAAACAGATAGTAAAACAATTGAACTGTTTTTTACAAATTAGTATAGTCATAGTAGTAGGTGAAATTTAGTTTTCGTCATAGGCTGTACATAGAGAAGTCATGAGTTGGACTGTTAATTGCCTATTAACATTCGGTGGTGTACACTGAACAGGTCACGCTTCTTCACTGTAACGGTCTCGGTGGGCTCTACAGTCTGATCTATGAATGTTTTAATGCAGAGATGGATTTTTGCTACACTTGAGTACAGGCTTTTAATGATTATTCAGCCTAAGTAAAGGCTGTGCAGTTTGCCATGTAGCATGAAACTCAGCCTAGCAGTGAAGACCCCTCTGAGCTATTTCCTTTCCTCCCCTGATGCTACATAATGAGTTTGACCTTGTAAAATACTTGAAGAACTTGACACACAGGAATAATTTCACTGAATCACACTTACAGAAGTCTGTAAGTTTATAGACTGCTAAGCACGGACTGATGGCCAGAGTGCAACAAATCCTGCAGGCTGTCTCAGGCTGGGAAAGATCAGGTGTAGTTAAAATATCTGTACTGGGTTACCTGTAAAACAGGTGATGTGGGATTATGCACCATCTGCAAATAAAAAAGAAGAATCTGTAAGTTAAGAAGAATCTATTGTTCGTGTAGCTACAGTGGCAGTGACCTACATGGCTGAAGGGAGGCGGACAGAATACAAGCCCACGGACAGACATGCTTGTTGCCTGTGCCAGTAGTTTCCAGCCCAGATGCAGTCAGAGTGCAGGTGAGAATGCTGAATTTCCTTCCTAATGAAAAGAACCTACTGGCACTAGATGCTCCTATGACTTACAGAAAACAGTAATTTTTCTAAAACTTGCAGATGACACAAATGGCATTCTGATACAGTTTTAATGACTAATGAAACAGTTTGAAGGGCTAGATGTATGCTTGAACTAAAAGAAATTGCTATCAGAAGCAACATTTACACACTATTTGCTTTACTGCCATCCTTATTTTTTAACACAGAAGGTTTAACTATTTCTTTAGTAATACTGGAGTTACTTCATATTTTACTAGCAACACCAAAATAAAAAACCAAAAATCATGGTAAATTAATTATTGTTACACACATTATGCACAAAATGCTTTGATTGCCATTAAGTGGTAATGGCACGTCTGAAACCCAGGCCTTCTGTGGGCAAAGAATAATAGTGACATGAACTAGATGAGCCATTTGTTTTGTATTTCTACATTTTGGGTTTCTTAAGTGTGTATCTCCAAAATGCATCAAAACTCTACAGTGCTAGGAAAAACATTACGCATACTTGCAAGAATGTCTGAAGGATTTTATTTGAAACTGGGTAAGCAGTATGGTATATGGCTGTGTAAATTTATGGATTATTTGTCATACTAATCCCAGTGGAATTAAAAAGTGACAATTTCAAAATTAGTTTGTCACTACTGTTTAGTTACAGCTTGACAGTAACATTAAGGATATGGAGTCAGTTTTCAGCGCTGTTTGTGTATTGCAATGTGCTCCGTGGACCTGATACTCTGAACAGAGCTGCTTTTGAGGGGGCTGCTGCATAACAATACTTATCAAGTTTTTCATTCATAATTACACTGAGGCTGTAATTCCGTAATGCCGTCTTCATTAGCAAAGGCAAAGGAAGAAATGCCTTTTTATTCTCCCACTTGTGCAAATTCAGGGGGCTGTGGTGTAAATCAGGTTAGTGAAATGATTTAGCTTAAAAATAACATTTGCCATAAGAAAGGAGGGAAAGGATTTGAAAGGGAGTCTGGATCATTAGAAACTGGATTATAACCTGAATAATTTCAATGGCATCATGACTGCCAGTGTAATAGAGGTGGTGACATACCTTGAGGTAGAATCTTAAACCAGCTCTATCATTAGACTGGGCATCATGAAACCAAGGAGTGTGAAAAGATGCATCTATTATCGAACCTGCCTTGACAGAATACAAAATCTACAAAACAAATTAATTGTCTACCGTGTATATAAAGAATCAGTCACCTATCTACAACCAAAACTCAGTTTAGGTTTGGATATGCTCATTTATATTCAGTGGGTGGGCACTGTTAGGAGAAAGAAATAGCCAAAGGATACAATATTTATCACTGTCATCTGAAAAAGGAGATGATGTTTCTTTATTCCCACTTGATATCGTTCTTGTACTGCATACTTCTCTTTCAAAAAATGGTATCACCACCAGAGTAAGTTAGGGCTCTGCTGCAAATCACTAAATTGCAGACCCCTGTGCTCCTCCCCCCATTTTTTTTTTTTTTTTAAAAAAAACCCCTTTTTTGGACATCATACGAGAACTGGAAAAGGCTTTTAAAAATAACCTTATAACTATTTTCTGCTTTTTCAGTTTACCTTAATAACATAAGAATTCTTTGGTATTTGTGAAATGCTATTTCTGGTATGTCCCATTTTAAAGAATTCAAAAACAAGAGTGATGAGATATATGTTTTCCTTTGAAAGTAATCCCTAGCATTTGCAACCAATCAATTCAACAAAACTTCTTCATTTAATGGCAAAGTTTATTCATTTTTTAACAATTAAAAGACAAAACATTTAAAATTTGCAGTTCAAAACATGCACATTCACCAAATGCCAATGACATGTAACACTGCATAGAACTGAATGTGTTACTAAAAGAGAAGAACTATTTATAAAACACAGTGCATTTAACATCCAGTTAAAACTAAACCTGAGAAACTACCATAAACACCGAGTCAAAAAGTCTTCATTCATGCAGCTTCATAATTTCCACGACAGTTTCAGCAGTAATGGCTTAGTGGAGCTGTAAAACCTCACTTTATCTTGAATGCAAATTTTGCTATTACAGACTGACTGCTTTTTGCAGCAGTTCATACATATCAAACACTGAAATCTTAATGAAAAATTACGTTGAAGTAGAAAAACAATATTAATGCATTTATGGCTTCTATTCTACAATAAAGAAACACCATGAAATATGATTTAAAAAAATAACTGTTCTGGTCACAGCTTTGCAATAACAAATCACTCTCTGCGTGGAAAAAGTATCAACCCTCCGACGTGCCCAACTTTGCACATCATTGCTCAGAGTAGTCCTTATACTCACAAGCAGTCCTGCTGAAGCCCCTGTGAGTAACGGTTTGCATAAGCAGGAACCAGGTTTGGAATGCTAAAATATTCCTTTGTTTAATAAAGATCTACTGGCTAACAGTGAGGAAACTGGGGAAGCAAGGGCAGAGCGGGGGAAGGAGAAACTGATTTGCTGAGTTTTGTCACCAGTGAAAACATCCAGTACCAAGAAAGTTGAACTGATAAACTCATTTGCTTACATAGTACTAGCTTCTCAATATATTATGAGCAGACTTTTAACAAAGGCATTAAAAAACAGGGAACAGCAACCACCATGCATTGCCTCAGAACACTTAGAAATATTGCCTCATGCAGACAGAATGATAAATTCATCAGAACTACAAGTGCTTTTACACAATACATAAGAAAAAAAGGGAAAAAACTCTCCTTTAACACGTATTTCAAATTACTCATCATTCAAGATGGGTTTAAATATAACGAAAGAAGTCTTAAGACATTTAACGCTCATCTCTGTAACACTGAATTTTATGGATGCATGTGGACATACAGGAATCTTTAGCTATCTCTCAGTGTTTGAAAATATTTTATTTATCATTTTATACAAATAGAATGATGACTAAGTATAAATCTGTTGAAACTGCTTTGCAAAAATAAGTGTAAAATTAGGAAATGGCAAGAAAAAATTCCAAATACAAATTGTCAATAGGTTTGTTAAAATTTGTTTCCTGTTACTCTTTTGATTCATTTATATATATATGTATATATTTAAAAATAATCAAGCAACAGCATTTATATAAGATATCTGATTTCTATGTGGCACTGGTTCAACTTTTTGATGGAAATTTTTAATACTAACTTGTAGTTGTTATGCAGTGCACATGAAACAGTCCATGTGAATTCTGTATTTAATACAGATTTGAACTTTCAAACAATAAGAACAGAGGCATTGTTACAAGCTTTTGCCTAAACGTTTTTTTCTTTAAACAAACATCTGCACAATCCCCTTACTTTAACAAAGATATGATGTACTAACAGGATGGTAACAGATTATATTACTTCGTACTCAACATGAAAATAAAGTGCATATTGTATACTTGACCTGATTTAAAAATGGGCACGCATAGCTAAGATGATCTTATATTTTAAAATGTAAATGTATGAGCAATCAAACAGAATTGCCACACTGTTTTTTACTATTTCCAAGAAGCAATATCTTCCAACCACTAATTATCAGAAAAAGTATAGAGACAGGAGAAAAACCCATCAGAAGTAATAAAACTGAAAAGTGTGAAATACTACTTGAAATTCTGTAAAGATGTAAGGGTGACATACTGTGATAAGACTATCTTAAAAACCTTAAATTACAGTCTACATTTAGAATCTTAGAGCTGTTTCAATTGCTTTCTTCCTTTTTAAGATATTTAAACTGGGGATATACTGTGTGTTGTTTTCCACAAACTATATTACGATGGTGAGACAGAATTTTATTTCGCAGGAAGAATAAGAGATCATATATATTTCTCATTGTAAATATTTTACAATGTATTCTAGTCCTCGTGTTCTTTTCTGAAAAATCAGCAATTAAACCATTTAGAACAGAAAAAAAAAATATTACCCATAAAGAGAGTACGTATAGATTGAGTTGTTTTATATGAGTTAAGTACACTGAAAGATTATAAAGGAGCAACAGTGTCATGGTTAATTTCAGAAATATTTTGAAGTTGGTCATTGTCCCTTGGATGACAGAAAATAAGGATTCCCATTTTAGGAAAGGGGCATGCCCCCAAATTTTTTCTTGCCTTAGGTCAAGTGATTTGGCCCTCCCATATTGATCCATCTATTTATCTATGCCTAAAATGGCTTTTCTGAAGGCAGTTCTTGTCTGCATGACTGACTGGCAGTACTGTCTCTAGTGGGATACGTTCCCTTTGTCCCCGTGTCTTCTGTTTTCTGTTTAAAGATCACTCCGGGAAAGTGAGAGGAAGACATTGCATAACATGCATATGAAATGCAGACTGCCTTCCCATTTATACACCTTCCTAAATATGTACTTTCATATAGTACCTTTTGTTGGGCTTTCCATGTATATTTATAAGTTTCTCTTAGAATGGAGCATCAGAAACTTGGATAGTGCAATAAAGTTTTCTGTTAAGTTTAGTTAGATGAAAGGCAAGGAGGTAAAGTCACCTTTTGTGAGTGTAAGACTAATGAAGGAGGGCAAAGAAAAGATGGGAATGGATGACTTGTTACTTTTAAATTGAAAGTGGATGATTTGGAGAGCAAAGAGGAAATTCTTAATTTAACAGATTACTGGGGATGTCATTGTTCTGTTTTTCCATCTAGTTGATCTCTGTTCAAAGAAAAAAAAAGATCATTTCTATACAATCCACAGAAATGTAATTAAAAATAAAATCATCTGCTACTATAGAAAAATGTATTTTAAATGTAATTATGATGGCTTTTAAACTGAGACCATGGACTAAAAAGCTACAATGTGATTTAACTAAATCCTGAAGTTAAAGTAGCTTTTCTTAGTCTGAAACCTGATGGTTGTTGCATGGGAAGCTGAGAAATACCATTTATAACTACTTTAAAAAGCCATCACAATGTTCTCATTTAACACCTCCCTCTTTTTTTTTTCCTTAAACCAGGCATCTATCTTTTTCTGCAGTCACTTCCTCTCCATTCTTCATTAAAGGTGAGAGTATACAGGTATTCTGCATGACCAGTAAGTTGTAAAGAGGCTGCTGCAATGTATTTCACACCTTTATAGGAAGTGGATTTAGTGCAAATAAAACAGTACATACCACAGACTAGTGAAGGGCATGCTTTGCTCTCTATTTCAGTGTATACATTTCAAATAATTTAATATAAAAAACTCAAAATTTAACTTTTTAAAAAATAAGTTAAAACAAATTTTCTTTTGAACCTACAGTGTAAGCAGATACAACTAAGCATCGCAAAAATAATTAATGTTTGCTAAAGGGAAGTAAGGCAGAGCAATTATTAAAAATTGAACAAAATAATATGTGTACTCAAATTTTCAAGGTGGCAGCCATTTTCAACATATGCAATACTAAATGAAAATAAGGGGAAAGCTTGTATAAGGCCAAAGGTGCAAAGACTTGCAGTTTTGAAAGCAAATGCCATAAAGGCCAGACACACTGTACTGTAAATCTTTCTCCTCAAGTGTGGAGACTCAAGCATGTAGTTCTGAGATCAGGACTGGAGTTAATTTCTTTTAAAATTATTTCTAACAACAGAAGACATTTATGGAACTTCTTTGGCAAATGTTTTTAGGTTTGTTTGACACAAATGTCTATAAACATCTTGACTCAAAATTTTTCTTGAAGGTGAATGAACACCATTAAGATGGTATTTTTTTCAGCACTTGTTGAAATCAAAGGCTTGTTATCAACCATATTTAAATATATTAACACTTAAAAACCTTCACAGATGCTAATGGTCTGTTTATGTAAAGTATGTTTAGCGATCTGACCATTGCTTCCAAGTATATGACCAGAATTGAATCACTTTCATTGTAAAATAAGCAAGCTGGCAAGATACAAGATAAATTCCAATCTGTTTACAAAGGCTAAGCAAATACTTGTTATAAAATTTAGAGATGGTGTTTTACAGTATTGTTGCACAGTGCTTATGTCTACTGAATACACAAATCCAAACTTTATGGAACAAGACTATCATAGATCTGATAACTGGGCCATGGTCACAGCTCCCAGCAAAGATCTAGTAGTCTGTCTCAAAAGTAACTACTAAGGCCTAAATCTTGAGCTGTGTTCCTTCACCATTCCTCAGGCCTTTGTTTCGTGGTATCATAAGCTCTTATTACTTCAGACTGGGAAACGATTCCATTTTCATCTTGAGAAAAGGCATAGCCATCTGCAGATACAAAACAAACCAGAAACCAATTAAGTTTTGATCCCATTTTTTTCTTAAAGCTTTAATAAAAGCAGCTTAACAAAGGTTAATAGAGGGGAATAAACCTCTTTTCAGCAGTTAGTAGATAGAAAACCCATGCCATTTCTTAAATAATTTTGCAATTGTAAAATAGCAGAAACAACTGTGCAATATCTTAGGAATGAAGAGAAACCTACCAACAGGCAAAGAACGGTGTCTACTGGGTTTAGGATACTGCATCTTTTATTTTATTTATAAACAAATGCAGTGAAAGACAGAATTTTACTTCTATATTATTAATGGATATTAATTTTTATTTGTCGGTGAGCACTTACGAAGCAAGTTTTGCTGCAGCGAGTCAGAGCGATACAAGTTCACATGGTTCTTCTTAAAAACGTTCTTCAGTAGTTGGGCTCTTTCAGTTAAGCTAGAAAGAAAATGGAGACGTGTGAAAAATACTTACTTATTAAATACGGTATCCCTTTATCTTTGACTCTGTTAAATGAAAATTAATTATTAAATGAAAAGTGTTGATTCTTCTTTTTCGATTGTGCCTGAACAAGAAAATGAATAAAAGTGTGTGCAAGGGCAGATTATGAAGTCCAGATCCCTGGTAATGTTTTTACTTGTCACAGTACAGGCAAAACATCTGTGTGAAGCACTGTTGTGTGCTGACAACAAAAATAAATGAATAGTATTGTAAACATTTGAACATGACTCCTTTAGAAACACGCAGTGTAAAGGGAAGGCACTGGCTTCCTCGATGTAGCGTGGCTTGATCAGTGCTGGGCTGAATTACAGTCTTTCTTACATAAGACAGTGATCTTAGCCTCTACTGTCACAGAACCCCAAAGGGATGGGAAAAGAAGATGGAGGGGAAGTCACATCTGTGGCCATCAGCTGTGTGTACAGAAACATATTACTTTCATGAAGTGTTGTAGCAAGGTGTATTCCACATGAAACTCTAGCGGGTGTTTTTCTGGAGATCATACCCAAATAACAGACTACTATTACTACTAGAGTTTGGTCACTTCAGGCCATCTCCTTCCTTCTCAGCAGTACTGTGTCTGTTGTGTTATGTGTTTATTGTGCTTTAATGTGATTCAAGCAACTCCATTTCAGCCCAACTAGAAAACAGGAGTATTAAACAGTTTTTCAGTTGAGACTCAAGCATCAGCTGCATGCTGCAAACTGTAGAGAATGGAGTAGTGAAGGTATCAGGTTTCCTTACTGTCCATCTTTCTTACATTTGAAGTTCTCTCAAATAGGATTCTACATAAATAAATAAATAACAGATGGACTAGCCATAGCTCAGAAAGCTTTTGAAATCTGACAGTTTTGATATTAAAGATGTGCAAGGGACCATATGAAAAATACCTCACACAAAAGCTTCAATTTCTTCCTCTAGATTTGATATTCACTGTGTATTAGAGCTTCTGTTTCAGAGAAATACCAACCTATCATTTAAACATTTCCAGTGCTGAAAAATCCAGCCTCTCCCCATGTGAACTGGTCTAAAAATTAGTTATCTTAAAAAAAAATGTATCTTACGTTTATTCTGATTTGATTTGGTTATAGTTTTGCTAGTAGTAACAGATTTCACATACCTATATTACTGAGTTTTGATCAGTCAAATCAATTTTTAATATTGTCCATTAGCTCAAAAGACTTACTTTCCCAGGCTACTAACCAGACTAAATGGTGCAAGAAATGGCTTCTCTTACTAGATTAGCATTCAATCATTAAATTAGAAGTTCTCACTCTTTCTTCATTGAGTATATACTTTTTATATATGAAATTGAACCACTGTGTTAAACTGAAGATACTAATGGTCTATCCCCCCTTTCTGGTCCCCTCCAGTCTGGTAGTTAAAGCATATAACCAGAGGTGAAAGCTTGGCTCTTCCAAGCTGGAAGAGGGAAATAAACCCACTATTCCCACACCCATAGAGGAATGTTAACTGCAAAATCTACACGGTAAGGGGATAAGCAAGGTAAACTCCTTCTGTGGTCATGTTTTGAATGAAAAGATGGAATGACACTTCCTTGTAAAAAAGGAATTAGGTAGCAATTCCAGGAAAGCAGTTGGCATCTGCTGACTGAACCAAGAATGGAGAGGTTAGAGTGCCGAGACACACCTTACTCAGTGTTTTCATAAGCTACCTCTTTGGGGATGTTTTTTTTTTTTCATCCTGATTGCTCCTCTAGGATGTGTAGGAGCCTTGTTTTTTAGTTCAGAGCTGCAAACTGTTAAAGTGACAGGATTATTAAAAATTTAGGACTGAGATTTAAACCACAAGGATACTCAGATTGAATAAATAAATAATATTATGTAAGATGGGACGTCAAAGAGGTGGAAGACCATGTGAATACTAGATACAGTTATCAGTTGTATCTCCTTTGCAATACATCTGAGAAACCCTTCATGTGAGTTGAAATCAACAAATTTCTATGAAATTTTTGGTTTTGAAGAGTGTTATTTTTTAATAAAAACTATTTTATTAAAAACATAGCAGGCCTATTCTATCATTTTTGGTACCATCATTGTTCTTTGCTTGTGCTTCAGAATGAAATGTTCAGACTGCTTAAATGCCAAGCACTGAAAATAGAGCCTTAAGTTTTACAAGAACATTAAGTATGCACATTTCTTAGTTTTATGTGTAATGAAGTTTCTACTGCACGGATCCGACTGTTGGTACAGAAAATACAAATCAAGTAGGAAATACATTTGTGAAAAGTGTTTCCAGCTATTCAGGTATTAAATTCCACACTATTCTTATACTTGAAATACTGCAGGCTCTTTATTATGAATCATCCTATTGCCATTCAAAAGCATATTTAAAAATCTACATGCAAAGCCATGAAAACATGGTTTCATAATTAACCAATGATAAATCAGAGTAACTAAATGCCTATGCTCATTATATGTACCTATATGGACAAGCAGAATATTAACTGATTTTGAACATGAAATGTGTACATTTACAGGCAATTAATCTAATTCATAGAAAAAAAAAACCAAACTACTTTATATATTCCTGACCAACCACTTGGATGGTCTAAAAGTAATTTCCAAGTGGACTGAATGAGAAACAATGATTATATTAAACAGCATTTGCAGTATATATCTCTAAAGACATTTCCACAAGTTTGGGCTCTTATTCATGTTATTGTTAGTCTATGTAGTAGTCAACTCAGTAAAAATATTTTTGTAGTAAGGATTAATACTGTTTTGGTGTAAGCATTGTATATAAAATATCAGAAAACTGTTTCTGAACAATGGTTTATATACAAAAAGTATCATTTTACCTTAGTCATTTCAATTTTAAGTAGAAATGGCATTGTGGCATTTCAATTACAATGGCTCTAATTATAGAAATAATACTTTTTTTGTGGTACAAATTTGTTAATCCACTGAAGCTGTTCTATTATTTATGCTATCAAGGCATCCTTAAGTCAATGCTATTCCAACATGAAACTTTACTTTCTGTCAGAAAAGTGCCATGAAAAAGTCACACCTTCTTGCTCAAAATATATTCCTACTTAAATGGACAAATATATATGATAAAACCAATTTCAATGTGTTGCCTACAGAATAACAGAATAAAGTATTTTTGGACAGTTTTGGGGAAAATTCTGATTATACATCTTTACAGACATGAGAACAACAAGATATGATAGGAATGCTCTTCCTGCGCCTTCAATTGTAAGTTCAAAAACCTTTTCAAATCCGCACTGTGAAAGTACAAGGGATGACAGATTTAAGACTATATTAGCAGACCCTATTTTTAAAGCATATGCTAAAATGATATTTAAGCAAGATAAGATAACAAGCAAGATAACAAGAAAGATATTTGAGGAACAATATTTTAAATTATTTCAAAGTAAATGTCAATTTTGATCCTAATTTTAGGAAGACAGCTGAAAGCACGAATTGAGAATTTAATAGAAAATTCCCCTCCTAAGATTGTTTGATAGGAAAAAATCAAAAGGTAAAGCCTTACAATCTTAGTCGTATTTAAATGCATGCAATACCAGGTCAACAGAGTTCTAAAAATCTGCAACAAATATATTCTAGCTGAAAAAAACAGCAATAAAAACTAACACTAATATGCTTCTAAGTAAACATTCAGATGCTGTTTGATTACAGCATCTAGCCAATAGTAGAATCCTGACCTGTTATCTGTGGAAGTTGAGCCTCTTATTTTGTGTTGTAATATTTTAAGATGTGAATGGACAGAGTGGAAAAGTTCCTGAGTTATCTTTCTCACTGTTTCCCAGTTACTTCTTAAACAGGGTTAGGTTATTTTGGCATTTCATGAGAACAAACCCTTCCTGCTACCGCATAAAAAGGTACTTCCAGAGGTATGCACGCTAGAAAAATATTATTTGGTGCTGAAAAATACACATTAAGTTTTTAAAAACGAACTATTTGTTGTTGCATGAAAAGCACTACAACTCAAGAATGAAGTCTCATGTGCATATTTAAAATATATGTAGAGGACATTCCTTACCAATTTAACTTTGTACTGGTAACTAGTTAATCCATGCTTCTGCAATTTAGAAGACTCAAAAATGTTTACAATAGTTCAGTCAAATTTTTGAAGATTCAAGTAAGTCAGTTCAACAGATCGTTTATTTAAAAAATAATACTTCATCCATAAAAGGTGAAGTTTCAGCTCTATTATCTGAATTAAGATATAATGTAAAAAACAAGGGAGGGAATAAATCCTTAAGAGATATTAAGATGTCTAACATCCATTGATTTCCATGTTAGGTGGATGCTTGTTTGAATACAGGTCTAAAAATAACTTTGTGGAGAAGGAATGGATCCAAGAGACATTCTGGCAGGTAACTAAACAACTTTCATGAAGCCCTTGTAACTACTTAACTGTGGGATAAAAAGGTAATTATGAAATTAGTGGTGAAATCACCAAATTCCTCTTACCTAAATAAGAAGGGATTTGGAAGACATTCTGTAGGATGAAGGAAGTGCATATTGCTACACAGCTGAAGTAAAAGTAGCTGAATTGGGCAATGCAAGAGAAGTCTTGGGAATTCAGGTATGCAACACTAAAGGTACATGACCTTACTTTCTTCTACACCCACAAGATGTTCCCCTTTTAGCACTGTCTAGTACTAATGTCAGCTTTCTTTTCTGCAATTCATTCTTCTACAACTTTTGCTCTTCGCAAAACAGCACACAGCATAACATTGCTTCTGGCTCAAAGCTTGGCACACTGATATATGAGTTGGTTAATTTGGAGGAAATTCTTGCCCTGAAGCTGCCTGAAATGGGCACTGCCAATGGAGAGAGGCATCCATCACAACCAATTTAGATCACCTTTAAAGGTAAGAGAACTTACTCTTGCAAGTAGCAGTTTGGTCTTCCCGTGATGAAGGAAAAGTATGCTCAGTGCAGGAATTGTCATCAACTAGGGGATTTTGCAGTACCTCCAGTCTGAAGTTGCTGTTACAAAGACAGCATAGAGCCTGATCGGAGACACTGTAGGAATGTGCTCCTATGTAGTCTGCACTAGAGTAGGTGTTCCATGCCTAATGGTACTTCCCCTGGTATTTGTCTATAGTATCAGGGAAGATGAATTCCACTAGAGACAAAACATTCTCGTGAAAATAATTTCTGGGAAAAGAAAGGAAAAGGAGTAAACAGACAAGCTGGATATTTCACCCATTAGAAACTGTGGTCATCATCCTGGTATCCAATGTAAAATTTGGTCTCAACCTGGTAAATCCTAGTAAGCTGATTCCCACTGAACTGGAGGAGGGATACAGTAAGACTGAAGGAGCAAGGGAACTTAAGTATCTTTATGAACAAAAGGTGCTTCCTGAAAACTGAACCTACAGTAAAAAGAAGTGGCTGTTTGTGTTTTTTCTGGTCTCTTTCTGTGCAATGCTTGGTAGGAAAAAAGGGTTCTTGGCTAAGCCTTTTGCCATGAAGATACTAGAAGAACAGCAGTCTGAAGGAAAGAAAGAACAGGAAAATCAAGTATCAACAGTTTCAGCTTTTTTTAGACTTCAAAAAACTCATGAAAATGAAGACAAGGAAAGAAAGCCCTAGCTCAGCCAAACAGCACTAATGAATTGGAAGGGGAGAGAGCCGGTCTTTGTCATCTCATACTCCTAATTCAGCAAGTGTTTGCTACAAGCTAGGGTGCAAAATTCTGAAGTATAGTAGTGAGAGCACACCTTTATGGTGAGTTTACACATAGAAATTGTCCAGCTGATCAGTTTTACTTTATCCCTTTTCAAATTACCTGTCTGACTCATGATGGAGGATGCAACAAGGGAACTCTTATGGAATCTTAAAAGTTATTTCTTACCTCATACAGGTTAGCCAAATCCGTTTGCTCTGGACTGGCATTAGATATAAAGCCACCTTGTTCTATTAAATTTCAGCAAATCCTAGATGTATTTTGCTATTTGCCCCTATGCTATCAAGCAGGTTTTAAATTTTTAGATTTTTAAAATTGTGCTTAGACCCAATTTATAACTATACTAGTGAATGATGAAGGTTTAAACTCACTTTGTATTAATTGTTAACACAGTCAAAAGTGACAGAATTAAAATCATACCTCAAGTCTGTTCTATACATAATAACTAGAAATGTGACAGTCAGCTACAAGAAACACATCAGTTAAAGCCTTTGGTAAAAACCTACATCTGAGCATATGAAAAAAACATATGGGCTCAGCAGACCTGAAACCTCTTTACCTTTTGTTTGTATGGATTTTTAAAGTAACCTTTTCTCTCTGATACATATATAAGGCTGAAAATTTTAAAGTATGCTGTTTGGGGTTTTTCTAAGACAATAATCTACAGATTTTTACAGTACCTCTTCCCATGCACAACTGCCCCAGGATCTTCAGATTTTGCTTCCAACTCCTGAACTTCATCTACCAGTGTCTTAAAAGTAGTTCTCTTTACTCTGTAATAAATACAAAATACTGCCAGATTTACTCTTCTTGAAAGTAAAAGAAGAGATTGCTTTAACACGTACATAAACATTCAATTTAAAAATCAAATTTCCCAGATGACTTAAAATTAAGCTTTACAAGAATATTACAAAGTAAGTCTAAATAATGTATTTTATCAGCTGTTCTCACAAATTAGAAACAAATATTTATAAAAAAGACATTACAATTATTGAAACATTTAAAATACTAAAATGTCAAAAAAACAAGCAAGGTAAAAAATATTTTTATATAATCACCAGAGCCGATCTTCATTTGCTTTTCTTATATTAGTAATTAGAACACACATTTAAAAGTCAGTACTTTCTCCCGTAAACCTGGACATTTCTGTACTCACACTTTGTATACTACATCAAAAAGTAAAGCTGTCATAGGAATACACAGAAGTCCCATCCAAAACACTCCAGAACTGAACATCATAGCTGCCTGGAGGGGAAAAAAGTAGAAAAATGTGATGATGTCATGACAAGAACTAGGAAAAAAAACCTTAGAAATATCAATTACTTTGTTCAGAGAATCAAAAGCAAGCTTAAACAAACTATTCTAGACTCTCTAATGTGAAATAAAACTCCTTTCTAAAATCTCCTGAGTTTATATAGAAATCCAGTAGCAAGTGAGGACTAATTCATGTTAAGAAGCTGGTAGAAAGATCGCACTGCTTAGCTCCTTGAGAGAGGGGGAATCTAAGTCTCCACAACCCTGCTCTGAACCACTATGCTGATTGTAGCCATTTCTATTAAAATCAGGTTTACTGAAAATCCATCCCCTCCCTGCCTTGTGCAATCTTTGTCAATACATTATGAGCACAATTTCTTATTTGCAATCAACCCTAACAGGATATAATGGTTTGTGAGCCTTGATATGGATATTGGACGCTGTTACAATCATTTTGCAATATAACTCAGAACAAAGTTATCTCCAACAGAACTCACTGTACCACAGTTACCACACTGCCCCAGACTCCTTGTTCAACAAACTGCTTAAAAATGAGAACTAACAAAACAGCTAATTACATAATTATGGAAGCATGCAACATATTGTTAAATGAAGACCTGACACATTAATGCTCAGAGAAATATTTGCAAACCAGATCATTGCTTTTAGCTGTGTGTTTGCTTTTTTACATACTGCTTTATATTAATACATAGGAATTTCTCCTGTTTATAACTGGGTCTGTAAACACACTGATAACTAAAACATGCTAAAAAGCCAAAACAAACAAAATATATGGACATTAAAGGAAAAAAACCCTTTAATTACCCTTGTAATACATGCTCAAGTGTCTACATCAATAATATTATGGATGCAAGGAGTATGATAAATACTTAATGAAGCATATTACTAAAAGATTGTTTTACAATCAGTATTAAAAAAAACCCTTTGTAATATAATTAGGTTGCACAGAGATTGAAAGTAACATTGCTACATGGCAATATCCTTTCAAATCCTTTGATTCATTACTTGGAGACTAATTCATTTCAAAGGTTAAACCTCAGTACATAACTAAAATAAATAAGCTGAAATTTTAGTAGTATTAATTAGCAGACAAATGCAGGAAGCTTCCAGTAGCTAAAGTCTAATTTCTGAATGTGCATACATGAAAATTTTAGAATTATACTTGATACATTCATATGTACAACCAAAAGTGAATTTTCATATAAGTAAAAAGTTCTATTTACCTTGATTTTGTATCCCAAATTCCTACTGACACTGATACTTTGGAAAGCATTAGAATGTATTTTAACCAGAAAATTGGTAGACTTTCCACAGCTATGTTAAAAGGACATAGCTATTGCCCTGAGATTCTATTAATTATTTCTGCCAACAGCTGTCAGCAGAGGTGTAAACACTGAGCAACGACAGGTTCAAAATAAAACAATTCACATTTTCAACAGAGGGAAAAAAAAAGAAAATTTTGTATCAGGAAGTGGAGAAAATGTATTAGCACAGCTACTTTATAAGCAAAACATGACTTTTGACATACTTGATGAAATACTAATTTCCTAAACCAGCAGCTAATAGGAAATGTCTATCACAACTATATTTCGCAAGACATTTTATAATTAGCAATTAAAGAGACGAAGTTTCCTAAAAACCAAGAATAAGCATAAAAATACGACTTGAAATAATTACGACTCCTACTTCCTATTATTAACAAATTTTTTTAATTTGTAAGAACATAGCAAAGAGCTGTCCTTCCGTTAGCCACCCTGTATTAAATGTTTGCTGGTGAAACACCAAAAGTGATAATGTAGGTCTTAGGATGTTAATTCTGACCATTGTAATGCTAACTATGAATGAAGGAACAACTGGCGCCTACTATTCAGTCCATCCAGCCTTTGGCTTTACAAATGAACAACATGAATTGAGGAAAAAAAAAAAAAGTTTTTCTGCGTCATATTTGAAAGCCTGTCAGATTTTTTTTCTTTTACAGAGTTAATCCAAACCTAAAAGATTTAAAGCCGACATTCGCATTAAAGACAGAGGGCCTCTTTGTATTTTTTGGACGAAGAGGGGAAAAAATAAAATCCCACAGAGGTATTTCCTTCCTTTCTGTACAAGAAAGCTCTCCCCTCACTCTGTAGAAAACATTTTTGTCTCTAACTTTTCACATCTCTCTACACATAGGCAGGTCATCTGGGAAATGGCAAACCAATCCTTTTCAGACAATGGCACTAACAGGAGCAGCCTGTTCTGGGGACGGACTCTGGCTGCCTCTGTTCGTGGTTTACAAATTGTTCCTAATGTGAGAGATTTGTGGTCTATGCCAAGTTTTCCCCCTTTAGGCCTTGTGAAACCAAATGGAATCTGCCACAAAAGTGGCTCCCAGGGGAATTCAGAAGTAATCCAAAATGAGAGCTGGGAAGCCTAGTTTATTGTAGAAATTACAAATCCTGCAGGGAGGATAAATTATTTGTTGTATGTGTAGCTCATGCTTAACATTAAGACTTTCTAAAATGAATTAGCATTGTTTATTCAGTGCAATGTACAGATATTTATATAAGTTCTTATTTTTTAAAAAAGGAAAAGAAAAAAGCTGAGAAATACTTCCTTTCATGGCTAGTGGCACATTAGAAATCCTGGTTGCAAAATATTTTTAATGCACTGATGAAGATGTACTGTTAGGAAATGACGTGCCAAAATGAACAGAGAATATTCCCTTTTTTTTTCCACTATGAAATCATCTGGCAGACGAGCTAGCTCAGATTTTGAAAAGCCTTCTAAAAGTAGAGAGCAAGATGAAAAGAACAGTAAAATTCTTGTTGCAAAAAAGCTTATGAAAATCCTTTTCAGTTTATCTGTTTCAGATATCACCTAGGTACATATCCTCTTCCCTACAAACCACAGAACTATCATAATACCTCCTCAACACCATCAAACTAGCAACAGTTTCTCAAGAGCCTACAGAGACAACTTAATTAGTTTCAGTTATCTGCATGTGTTTGCCTTCATACATGCCAAACATACTGTTGTAATATTAACAGATCTGCACTGACTCCCAGTGCAGTGAAGTTCCTACAAATGAGTTCTTGTAGTGCCTCTAGTCCTTCTTTGCTATTTAGAGTTTAAAAACCATATCAGAGTTCCTACTAATTAAAAACTAAGTAGGAGCTCTGTTTATTAAATATATTAAAAAGGGAGTCCCTCCATTTTCTGCAAATACAAACAATACAACAAATAGTAAGAGGTACTGAAACTGAGGGAGTACCAGGCAGTCAGGAAGCAGATAACTGTGGATATCTGCAGGCAGAATCTTACTTGAACAAATCTCCTATAAGATAAGGAAAACAAGTAAGGACAGACTAAGGAATATGCCTTTTTTCCTAGCTTCTCTCATTTTCTTCAGCTAAGGATACAAATAGCTGACTGCAAGATCACTAATTTCCTCACTGCAGGTGGGTATGAAGAGTGGACTGTATCCCACAGAGGAATGATGAAAATGATTGTCTTAATTATATAAACACAAATAATAAATATTATTGTAAATAATAAATATATGGAAAAGTTCACAAACACAGACATGTACTATAAAACCTAAAGCTTCAAGAAGTATGTCTGTGGTGATACAAAGCAATACAGAGACTTAGGCCAGGTCTCTTGTCTACAGATGCGTCCTTAGTTCAGCCCCTTTTTTCAGTTAATATTTTAAATATCATTGGAACACACATCTTGCCTTTTCCTAGAGAGTACCTTAATCACTCAGGCTGAGCAAAAGCCAGCACATTGTCTCTTCTGATCCAGTAAATATTTGATTATTCCATACAAAGTAGAACAGCAGAAGACACAGTTCTCTGTTCAATCACCCTTTCAGCAGAAAACATTACCCTGAAAATTGCGAAGTAGAGAGAAACTTAAATCTGGCTTTTGGATAACATTCATTTGGGGTGAATATTCTAGTATTTAAGTGTTGGATAAATGGGTATTTTAAAAAAACATAGGTGATAAGGGTCTAACTGTGGGAGGTAGTTCAGGTTTGTGAATCATCAGATTAGCGCTTATCTCTAACCACAGTAAGGCATTTGAGTCCAGAAAGGGATGAAATGCAAGACTGCACCTCATCACACGTTCTTGTAACTAGCTTAGAGTGGCTGGTCATCTTCACTTTGTGAATTAAGGTCACAGGCATTTAATTCCTTGCTTGCATTTTATAAAAGCCTAGGTTACCTCAGTAGATATTACACATTTGGAAAAAAGAGCCAAAAAACCCAGCAATTAATCATGGTGCCAGAAATAGCTGTAATGAATTTTATCAGTTGCTATCTCTGTTGAATTTAGACAAAACAGTGATGGAAGTGCTTTCAAAGATAAAAAGCAAGAAAAAAGAAAAAAAGGCTTCACAATAAATATTAATACCTGGAAATTTCCTCAAAAAGCTGAAGAGGAGAATGACACACAAACAAATAAAGCTTTCCTGAGAATGAGGAAGAGAAGGTTCTGTTACCAGAAGTTCGGCTTTTGTTAGTGGTACAGCTTGAGCTAACAGATCTGGAAAGTAACCTTTAGAAAATTAAAGAGAAATAGCCGCTTGGATGTAAAATTCGACAAGCTAGAAAATGTTGGCAAGGTGAGATTTATCACACTACTTTTAATCATGCTTGTAATCAGAGAACATTAATTGTTCTGCAAGAAAAGACTAAACTGTCCTCTTTTGTCTCAGAGTAAAAGGTTCACAGGGAAACCTGCCTGAGTGATTAAAAGATGATGTAAGAAATAGTATCTGGAAAAAGAAGATGTAAAGCCACAATAAACAGATGAGTTCTGGTGATTCTACAGTTTGTTACCAGGGTAAGGGTTCTCTGCACTGCAATGCATGTGACAGGAAGGAGTACAGGAAACAATGAGCTTCACTAGAATTCCTACAGAACTGGTCATTCCTCACTACTGAGCATCAGAAGAGGAAGTTGCTATGGAGAAAGATGGCAGCT